TCCGGAGCCCGGGGTCTGCGTCCGTCCCCAGCCACGGGACTCGCGCTGAGCTGCCGGGGCGAACCGGGAATAGCCACCTCCCAGGCGGAGGAAACTTTTCTCTGGGCGGAGAACTAAAGAAATAAGACAGTCGGTTTGGGGCAGGAGGATTCAAGTCCTCCGGCTCCCGGCTGAAGTTGGTCGCCTGGCTGACGGGGTTTTGCCACCTCTGTTCCGAGACAGAGCTGCCGACCTTCCCCGATCAGCGCACCAATTATCTTAATAATGTTTCCTCCCAAAGGCAATTAGATGAGACTCCCTTTCAAAAATCTGATGGCTGCTGGAAGTTAATGAACACTTTACCGGGAGAACTTACTTCCTGGTTCTCCTGCAGCGCCCCTAAACTGTCTCCTCTGGTGAGTGACTGCAAGAGATAGTGGTTTGTGGGTTGAGGGAACTCCCTCCCCACCTTTGTCAATCGTCCCTGATCCGTGTGGAGTATGAATGAAAGTTACATAGTGTCAATACAGGGATCTGATATATATGCCCTGTAAGGCACTAGGATACCTGGAAATCCCTCACCGAGCTGCAGCTTCCACTCAGCTTTGAAAGCCACTCACTGTTAAGTAAGTGAAAGACTGTCCTGGGGTCTAAACAGCACCACGTAATCTAAATAAGGCGTTTTAAAATGTGATCTGGTTGTAGGCCTGTTTGACTTAACACTGTAAAGGAGGTGAAGTTAAGGGTATGAAGTGATCTTTACAGTAAGTTTTCAGCGATTATTATTAACTAACTATCAAATATTTACTTTTCTCTGGCTTAGATTTCAATCAAAGTAATCAGAAGAAAAGAATATCCGCTACTTAGTGTGGTATATTGTTTTAATAAGAGATCACAAGCTGAGGGGTTCATACCAAGAGGAATTTAAATCACATCTTTATGATGGAAGTTAATCTCTCTAATATGCTTTTTGATGTTTTGTGATTTAAGCAATGGATTTCCCCAACAGCTACCAAGCAGTGTTTTAAAAGATATGCTTGGAAGCAAAACACATGCAAAAAAAAAAAAAAATTGTGAATGTGGAATTCAATTTATTAATGAACCTGAGTTGGTGGCATCTTTCTAAAATCTGGCAGGGAATGAAATAAGCCTCCTCCAAATGAAAGAGCTCAAAATGGTTAGACTTTAGAAATTATAGTAACCTACCCGCCGTCCCCCACAACTCCTGAGATTAAATCCACAGTGGGGATGTTCACAGTCTGGATCTGAAACCTAATGCAAAGAGTTTTTAGACTTTAGGTTGTGAATGCCACAAATACACACATAGACACACACACACACACACACAAACACACGTATATTTCTTAATTTCTTTAGCAGAAATCTGGGGAATGCTGAGAATCTAAGCTTCAGTTGGTGAGCTCGCCTAGCTAAAGACATGTTGCTATGCTTGAAGTGACCAGAGCCAGTCAATGCCTCTGTAACTCAGCAGCACTCTTAAAGCCATGTCCACCTCCTCCGAGTACCAGTGTCTGCTAAATTAATTCATTAACCTTATTTAGGACTAATGGTCCAGAGTCATTAGAAATTGCTCTTTCTTAATCAACTGTTATAGAGATTTAACAGAGCCAGGGAGTCTAGCAGTCCACATTATCTTATTACACTGTCACTTTCTCAGAAGCCACAGATTAAAGAGCTCTGGTGTGGTACCAAGTCCACCTAAATGTTTTCTGAAGTGACTGTAGAGTGACTAGAACCAGTGCTGTTTTATTTCACTCCTCTAACAGATGCCAGACACTGCCATGATGTTTGTACAGAGCTGGAGGAGACTTAATGAGACAGGGTCACTTTCCAAGTTTTCTGCACATTTAAAATAATGCAGGAGTCTCAGTAGAATCACATAACAGAGTCCAATATGATCATTAACTGAGATTCTGAACTCCAGTTGCAACATCATTTCTTCTTGGCAAATCTTAAGCTTTTAAAAGCCAGAGCAAAGGAAACCAGTATAAGACTACCCTTAGCCTAAGAAACGAAGTCAGAAATATCTAGTGATTGAGAAAAACAATATAATTTATATTGTCTTCTTTTTAATTTATGGGAAATAATTTCTGTAATGCATGTAGCTTTATGCATTTTTGATGTGCACTTCATCTTTCATTTCCATTTGACCTGGTTTTCCTGAAATAAAATTCTGCAGATTTATAAATTCATGCTGAGAGCAAAGAATGCCATTCTCTTCCCACAGGGAATCTATTGGATGCAATATTAAAATCTATACATACCATTACTGAAAATTTGTAATTGATAGGCTTATATATTTCACTGCTTTCATACCTGTTCCTCTTACATAGTTTATGCACCAAATTTTTATTGCTCAAAATTAAGCATCAATAAATGTGGCAGCATTTCAGACTGAGGCTCTCTAGTATGAAGTTCATCGTAAAAAGTGACAATGAGAATCTATGCTGAACAATAAAGCAGCCCAGAGACTGGTTTATTTGGCCCTCAGTGAATCACCAGCATTTGAGGTTTTTGAAATGAAGGCTCAAAACTAGTTAGTTCACCTTTCCCAAAATGTGAGAATGTGGCTTACCATATGTGAAACCCAGGCCTTGGTGTGGTGGAGTTTTTTCTCCCCAACATTTAGGTAATTAGAATTAATGCTGTGTGGCTATTTATTTTTCTTTCTGCCCCATTGCTTTGATCTGATTTCCAAGGCTGAGCAACTTTACTGGGAAGAGTAAAGCAGAATTACTTCTGCTTCACCAAATATACTTTGTTCTCTGTTGATTTGGATCTCAAGAACAGAGATAACTCAAAATCACTTAGATTTATGGGAAGATAAAACAGCAACAACAAAAAAGGTTTGGCTTTAAGCCAATCAAAGTCTTGGAAGACAATCCCCACTGATCAATGACACAGACTAGGCTTATCATCAAAAGGCGACACAAAGAGTCGAACAGCACCTTTTAGTCACCTTCCACTTAGAACTTGCTACTTAATGTGATTACACTTCTTGGGGGATAATTAAGTCTAGCAGAAGCTCCCAGGGGACCATGTTAACATCAATTGAGGGGATTTAATGTTTTTAATGCTGGAAGACCTTTTTCTTGGGAAGGAACTTTGGGGGCAGAAGGGACCTCCTCTCAGATCTCAGGGTTTCTGCCTGAGCCAATCTTCCTGAGATCAAAGAGTGTTCCTTGGTGGAGTGTTGCTCTCAGTGCAGCCTGAAGGACTTGTGGGGACCTCTTGGAGTTTACTTTGAAAAGTTATGGCATATTTAATAACCGAGAATTTATATAGAATGCTAGATTACGAATTAGTTATCAGCGAAAGATCTATTAAAATGTTATTTTTATTGCAGATAAATGTGGCGATACTATAAAAATTGAGAGCCCCGGGTACCTTACGTCTCCTGGTTATCCTCATTCTTATCACCCAAGTGAAAAATGCGAATGGCTGATTCAAGCTCCGGACCCAAACCAGAGAATTATGATTAACTTCAACCCTCACTTTGATTTGGAGGACAGAGACTGCAAGTAAGTGAGAAGGCATTTGAACAGGGCGCCACAGCACCATCTAGTGGTCACGCGTGTCTATGGGGGAAGTCTGTGTGTACAATATAGGATATAAATGGATCCGGGAGGGATTCCAATCCAGGCCAGATCATGTGTCAATGGTATGGAAATCAAATTATGTTAAGCGATTTCTGAGTTCCCCAAACTCAGAAGATTATATTTAAACGTGCGATCTCTCATACCGTTTCCTTTTAACACTTCTGGTTTTGGAAATCTTTTGTTAAAAAATGTATGTGTATGTATCTCTTTTTTTTCTGGAAAGGGGAAGAGCTAGAAACCTAAACTCTCACTTGCATTTTTATTAAATATTGTGCATTCCTAACATACATTCCATCCACAGGTATGCACATTTTATAATTTAAAAATGCGCAGCACATTTTATAATTTAAGAACTGTATTCATCTTATTGAGTTTGATTTGAACAAGCAAATTGTCATTGAATAAAAATAAGAAATATAGGATAAGTCAGATGAGCTTCATGTAGTATATTAATGGTTGAAAGATTTATGGAAATGCTGGAAAATAAATATTAAGGCACAATGAATACAGTGAGAACTCAATATAAGTTTTGGTCATACAATCTCCTTCTATTGTTAAGTTACTAAGCATCAATTGATGCCAGATTTCATTATTATGAAGACATTCTCACTATAGAAACACTTTATTTCAAAGAACTGCTGTATAGACGTTGCTTTCCACAGTATGGAAAGTGTGTTTTCATATCACATGTAACAGTCTGCTTAGATCCAGGTTTGCTCTTCTCTTTTGACACTCAACAGATCACCTGGCCCTGTATTGCCCACATCATTCCACTTTGTCACCTGCAATTGGTATAGTCTCCAAAGTCTTAAACCTGAATATTGATCTTTTATGAAGTTCATATGTATGTGAATAGTATTACCAAAGGAAAATAGTACATTTAAATCTCAATTCTAAAGTGTTTCTCAGGTACCAATACGTTTTCCCAAGTTTTAAAATGGGTCAGTTTGATATAATTGTGCACAATGTCTAATAGACTACTACGTCCATTGGACATAAACATTACTATGCAGGCATACTTATTGTTAAAAATGTTCTATTTGCATGCAATTAGTTCTTTTAGAGAAGAAAAGATTAATATGAAAATGTTCCCACCTGTACAAATACTCAACAACCTTTTGAGTTGGTGTAGTAAACTAGTTTTCCATGTTCAGGAAAATTAGGTCATCTGGTTAATTCAACATTTTGGTGCCCAGAGAATTAGCCATAAATCCATAGATTGATGATCAGTTTCCAAATAATCAATGCAATAAAAATATGCCAATAAAATTGTGCCAATTCCAGTTTAATCTTTGTTCTATGATTCAGAAGTGCTTCAGGGCATTGTCTTGTGTGGAAGTTGCCATTAATAGAGTGTTTCAGTGACTGCTAGGAAACAGAAAGTTTTGTGTTTTTTTGGCTAATATTCTTTATGGTGATTTTTAGTGTCAGTCACCTAGACAACCTGGAGACTTGTTCTCTATCTTATTTATTTATTCATTCATTCATTCATTCATTCATTCATTCATTCATTCATTCATTCATTCATTTATCTATCTATTTACTGTTGCTATTTGACAATGCTTAAACTGCTATAGGAAATATTTTTAAGAAACTCTTGTAAAACATACTCAAATAATAACAGTATTCCAAGAAAATAAGATGCTATTAGATTTCAATAAACTCATGTTTGCTAATCCGTGATCTGGAAATCACGACCATGCATATGTATAATAAAACAGTTAAAACATAGTTACTAGAAGTGTTATGCTGGTAAATGTTTAACAGGCTCTTAGGAGGGGGTGGGTCAGGTCCTGATTTGTAACATTTTCCAATTTACATGGTGTAAATACTTCCACCGTGGCTGATTTCAAACTACTCATGTGATGTAACTGTGCACAGACTTGGAAAGATATGTGCACCATTGGTTCTTTTAAGCTGGTGTGAGCTCCAGCACACAACTGGAGTAGAAGTTTAAGAAGCGAAGCCAGTTGAGTGATTTAATAGGCGTAAAGTGCTTACAACAGTGTCTGGCACATAGTAAACCTTAAATAATTGTCATAAAATGGTGTGAGGTAGGGTATGGTGGGACTGAAGGAGCACCTTTTTAGTTACTTTTTCTTTTTTAAAGTTAAGATAAAGGATGACTGTAATCTACAGAAAGACAATTTTAGGGATATCAGCAAGGTAGTCAAGAAACTGATATGACCAATAAGATTGTTTCCATAAAAATCTTAGGATGATGAGGGTTTGCTTGTTTGATTGTTTGTTTAATGCTGCAGAGTAGATTTCTTACTTGTTGCAACTGAGACTTTGTTCTCTGTGAAGGTGCCATCTCCTGGCCAGCCTTGAAAGGCTGCTATATTTTGCCTGATAAAGTCAATGGAGATGAAGCCCATGGAAGATATCTTTGTGCCCTGTTTTGAAGCATTGCTATCTGATCTTTTTAATCAATGAAAATAATCCCCAAAAGATTTAGGAAGACCAAAGTAAGACATTGCCTTCGCTATCATTCCAGGCTGATACACATGAATCCTGGTCATCGTTGAAGGTTGCAGTTGAGATTCTACAAATGTGGCACAATTCTGACCTCCTTTTGTAAAGGCTGTGAAAAGAATCCAAGCTTTAAAATCTATAGGTGGTTAGAATTCCCTAGAAAAATGGAAGATACCAAAAACTCTTCAAAGAAGAAATTCATAGGTTTCGAAGTTTGTATTAGATGCTCAAAAAGATAGTTTTGGCTTTGCTTGGTGCTTGTTTTGTAATTTATATTAGGCTATTTTAAAAAGTGGATTTGAGATGACACAAAACTAGGTATATAAAACCACATTCAGAGAGCTGGTAAACTTTATGTTATCGCTTCTATAAGGAATAAGATGTTCACCTTATTTGAGATATTTAATATTATTCCCTGTTTCAACTATATTGTACATCTAATGGTAGTAAAAAATACTTGGTGTATTGATGTCATAGGGTTTTGGGTAGGATAAAAATGTAGTGGGTACGAAAGCCCTTTGAACAGTTTAAAATTCTTCTCACAATAAGTTATCATTATTATTATGATATCTTTAACAACTCGATGATTGTTAAAACATTTGGATATATAAAACTAACTGTACGTCAAACTAAATATACTGATCTAGTAATAGAATGATCCACGTATAATACACGCTGCCTTTTGACTTGAAATTGTCAATATTTGTGCAGTTAACTTTCACCATGAGAAAGCTCAAAAAGTCGATTTCTTAATACGTTTGCTTATTGAGAAACATTATTGAGACTCAAGTAAACAATTTTCTTTTGTAAGATGTAGGGATGAATCAGTAATTAAATAGACCAGTCAAATAGTTCTGGTAGGAAAAATGTTTTTAATTTAGATTTTTATCATTTTATTTATAATTAGATGAAAACATTATTTCATAATTTTAGTAATACAATATGCAGTCTCAATTTTTCATGTGAATAGCACCAAGACTGACCCAGTTCATGAGTAAACTATGGACCATAGTTTACAAAATAGGTGTTAAGTTTTTACAGTGGCTATAGGGGTGGGGGGATTTCCTTAGGAAAAATAAATGTGTAAGTTGTGCCCTAAAGTTTTTAAATGCAACAATCTGTGTTTATGCTACCACTGAATCCGGTTTCATTACAAATAAGCATCAAAATCATAATACTTCAGTTCTTTTACCTAATGAGGTATGGTATAAGTTAATTAGTTAATAGAGCAGTAGAGCATCTCAGGACTAACACAGGGCTAGGATTTCTAGGTAGATACATTCATGGTTTTATTGTTATGTTGATATAAGAAAGGAGGCTAAAGAATATTTTGAAAAAAGAAGGTGTTAAGGGAATGGAAGGAATGATGATTTCTCTTTCTTTGCACCAGCAAGATCCTGCATGCTTCTAATTGTTGAAGCACACAGTTAAAAGTAGAAAAGAAAGACCAGCTGAGAAAGAAATGTTCATTGTACATTGTAAATGGTTTTCAATGGTTTAAATATATACACTGTACAAGTTAGATCTTGCTCCACTAAAGTTTTCTTTAGTGGTAAGGCAGACATCTTGGATCTCATAAAATTTTATATCTGTATAATAAACAAGAATGTCATTGATACAGTAGTTAGAATTTATGCAACTTTTCCAGTTTCCCAGCAATGCAAACTATCAGCATGATAATTTATAATGGTTTGTGACAAATACTGCTGTGCAAAGAGGTGTGTGGTTACATTCAGATCAGATGTCGTCACCTGGGGAGCAATAAAAATTTCACAGACATTGGGTTAAAAACATTAAGAAAATGAATGTGAAATTCCAGAAAAAGAGTCTGAAAAGTTGGTAGTGTTGCGGGGAGAGAGCCCAATAGTGGTTTTCTTACTGACAAGATCCTGACTTCAATGCGTGATTTGACTATGCTGTTTCATAATACAGCATAGACGCTTTTCTGTCTATAATTTAGATTTGTAATCTCTTCTTTGCGTAACCAAGAATAGGTGTGTTTTTCCTAATTTAATGCAGTCAAAGGAAGTTTTCACTTATGCAACTTCAGATGAAATTTAATCACAGTAAAATTAAAATTAAATAGAGATGATTTTCAAGTTTTGGAATTTTGTTGGAATAAGTCACACAATGTTTCTTTAATGCCATTTTAAAAATTATCGAAGCTCTTACAAACTTCAAAACACTGCTAATTTCATTAATTTTCATAGAATATAAACTCACTGAATGAAAATTAATTTGCCCTTAGTTTCTCAAATCTGATTATTTCTGAAAATTAATTATACAGTGGCCACTTAGTAATTTATTAGCAATTTTTGGAATATAAGTTTCGTTTAGGTTTCCTTGAGTAATGTTCTCTGTTTTGATCATTTTGTTTAGCATGGATTTTTTGCATTAATTTCGAATTTTTAAAAACATTGCATTAAAGTAGTATTTAATCTCAATTA